GTACGATTCTTCGTCGGAAAGAAGTGGCCTGTACGATTCTTCGTCGGAATATATCTGCGCGTACGATTCTTCGTCGGAAAGAAGTGGCCTGTACGATTCTTCGTCGGAAAGAAGTGGCCTGTACGATTCTTCGTCGGAATATATCTGCGCGTACGATTCTCCGTCAAAAAGAAGCGACGTGTACGATTCTTCGTCGGAAAGAAGTGGCCTGTACGATTCTTCGCTGGAATATATCTGCGCGTACGATTCTTCGTTGGATATTTTGTGGAGTACGATTCTTCGTAGGAGCCGTCGTAATAATATAACAAAAGTTTGGGCTAATCAGGGAAATAGTATACGATATTTAATCGTAAATGAAATGTCTGCCGTGTAAACTGCGGCAACGTCTGCTTGAGTAGGAGCGTATACATGCCATTTTCAGAACCTTGCATCAAAAAAAATTTTTTTATAACTCTTACTCTGACTTTATTAGCTTGTTTATTTGTATGTAAATGCAATGATATGATGGTCAAGTGCCAGTAAAACATATTTTATCTTGCAAATAATACGCTAATCGAAAATTAGAAAACCACAGTGTCCCGTGTCGCTTGGATACGGCACCATTGTGAAGAATCACCTTAACCTTTGTTGAGTCTGATAAATTGCTTCTATTCGGCCCTGATGGTGGTGCTGGGAAGCGCTCGGGGCCAAAATCTAAGGACTTAAGACCAACAGTGGGACCACCTGTACATACATCTTACATCGTGCCCTCGGAGTACTTACTCTATTCTAGCATCTCTATATCAGTTTAAAGAGATCATACACAGATAATCTCGGTCTCATCCACCCGTTCCTTTTCTTTAAGGATGATATAAAGTCCTAGGGCATTTTGAAATTCGAGTTTTCGAACCCAATATCAAATTCAAAGTAAAATATCACTTAACAGACGTATAATTCAAATTTTAAAGTATTTTGCTAACCAAAATCGAAAAAAGAACACATTCGAAATTCAAAATTTTACCATTTGTCTTATGAGGCAATTTGTTTATTTACCAAAAGTTTTTGCTTTTGTAGGCTAAAAGTTAAGCCAAATGCTACAAGAACTAAAAACAGGTTATTAAATTAATCTTCTGAACTTTCTCGCTTTAAGCTGCGGCGCCCTGGCCTCGTTCGCGTAGAGCATGCGAGACGTCTTGCCTCGATGGTGCGCGACCGGCAACTGGCGTGGTTTTCGCCTCGCATGGCTTTCTTATCGTCGCACGGCCAACATTACATCGTGTGATACTCAGCGCCTCGTTAATTGGCGCTCACTCGCATTGTCTCTTCTCACCCCCCTTTTCTCGCCTAGTACTCATATCCGAACAGATTTGTCCAGCGAGAAATGCCCTCGGTGACTAACTTCAGATTGTATAAACACTCTACTTAGACCATAGAAATATTATACATACAGAAAGTAAGCAAGCCACGATCCCATACGATCGCTAGAGAGAGAAGAAAGATTGTTCGGGTGGG